AAAACTCCTGGCTTCCTCCCTTCTCTAGAGAATGGCTCTCTGCAGCTGGGACCTGCCTTACCCTAGAACAGCGGTTCTCAACCTGTGGGTCACGACCCCTTTGGCGGTCAAACAACCCTTTCACAGGGGTCGCCTAAGACCATCCTGCGTATCAGATATTTACATTACGATTCATAACAGTAGCAACATTACAGTTATGAAGTAGCAGCGAAAACAATTTTATGGTTGGGTCACAACATGAGGAACTGTATTTAAAGGGCCAGAAGGTTGAGAACCACTGCCCTAGAAGGTATGCCCCCCTCCCTCCCATAAGTAGCCCACATCTCATGCCTGACTTATACAGGTGCTCAAAGACAAGTCTCCTTTCCTCAAGTGCAGACACCTTAAAGTTAGACTTTCCCTGAGATTATCTTCTTGCTCAGCTCTTTCCCTTCCCTATCCTGCTTCCCTCATGCCCTTATAGGATTTCCTGAAAAGAACTCCTTCAAAAAAGTCATGTGAGCTTGAATCCTGTATCAGGTGCTGCTACTAGGGGTTCTAACTAAGACAATAGCTACTCTTATTCATAAATATCGGGCTCCTAGGATTGTGGTCATGCCCTGAAGGGACACCACTTTGAGAGGATAGCAATGGATGAGCTCCCCTCAAAAGCTCCAAAAAGTGTCTTCCAAGTTCTGTTCTTAAAATGGTTGAAGGAAAAAAGTGAATGTCATTTGTGAAAGACGCCAGGGCAAAGGAGACAGGGACGACGGGAAGGGGGTGGTGCTGGGAACAGACCCCGCCAAGGGAGTTCTGGAGGGTCCTGTTGGGTTGAGCACATTCCACAGAAATAGCCTTTCTCATGACATTCGCCTCTTCTAGTGCATGCAATGGCTGAGAGCTGGGGACTCCCCGGGGGACTTCTCCAGGAAAGAAAAGAATTGCTTCCCTTCTGGATGTCCTGTTTCTCACTGGAAGAGCCAGCTCAGGCTCCCAGCCCTATGAGAGCCCACGTCAGCCAGGCTGAGGTTCACTTCCTCCCCCTGAAGAAATCCAGTGTCTTCCCTCACTGCCAAGAATCAGAGCCCTGGCAAGTAACAGAAGAAAGCGTAGAGGGCCACCTGGAGCATCGGCTAGTACAGGCCCTCCATGTACAGAGCCTCTCCAGGAGTAAAGGCAGCATTATCCCAGCTGGGTCAGGAGAGTCTATCAAGAAAGCTCAGATTTTGGGGGGAGGCCAACTGGGCTCTGGGTTACATGTTCGTGCCCATGCGATATGGTTGGAAAAGAGGCCAAACAGGGAAAGAGGAAGCATGGCTTCTTCCAGCTGAGTCACTAAGAAGTTGTGATTAATAATCTATATATATAAAAGCCTAAGCGATCGTTACAACCGAACGACCAGAATGACTGGTCGACCAGTCGCTATGATACGCACTGACCACCAGGGTGCAGATGCTCAATTCAGGAGCTGCCCCCTGGCGGTCAGTGCGCTCCCACAGCCAACCTCCTCTGGTCCCTTCCCCTGGCTGGCAAGCCTCCCGCAGTCCCTCCCCCCATCTGGCAGGCTTTGACCAGCAGCCAGCAGCCGGCAGACCCTGGCTGGCCCATCCCTCGACTAGTCGCTATGATACACACTGACCACCAGGGTGCAGATGCTCAATTCAGGAGCTGCCCCCTGGTGGTCAGTGCGCTCCCACAGCCAACCTCCTCTGGTCCCTTCCCCTGGCTGGCAAGCCTCCCGCAGTCCCTCCCCCCATCTGGCAGGCTTTGACCAGCAGCCAGCAGCCGGCAGACCCTGGCTGGCCCATCCCTGATCGGGACTGAGTGAGATGGCCCCAATTGTCTCTGATCACTGGCCAGGCCTAGGGACCCCACCCATGCATGAATTTTGTGCACCGTGCCTCTAGTGCTATGATAATACGGATGAGGATGATTACAGCTCATATTGACTGAACCCTTAGTATATTACAAGTACTGTGCAAACTACCTTATGAATGTTCTCTCATCAAAGCTCCTATGTCACCGGCATGACTAGCCCCATTCCACAGAAGAGGAAAGTGAGGCTAAATACACAATCCAATGGCCCGTTGCTAGGAAAGGGACAGAACCAGTATTCAATCTTGGTTTGCCACTGTGTTACCTCTGATTCATTTTAAATTAGGGTATCAATTTCCTCAGCTGCAAAAAGGCATGGCTACATTTCTCATATTTACCCTATGAGATCCCTTCTGGACTTAGAGTTAATGACCTCCCTCCTCTCCACCGAGAGGAGCGTACGCAACTAGAGAAGGGAGACGGAGTTCCAGCTGAACTTTTCACTCAGATGAAGGCAATTTGGAAATTCCACGGCTCCTCCCTCTGGGAGCAGTCAGTTATCCAGGCCTGGAAAACATCTGAGAGGTGACAGAAGCCGTTGGAGAATTCCAGGAGGGCCAGCTCATGCAACAAAAGGAGCGTACCACCCCTGCCTGCAGTTCTATATTTGCCTTTTCCCCCCGTTGGAGGATGCTGTTTTTCCAGACAACATTTGGAAGGCTAAACTCTGGTTACCTCGAATCATGGACAAAAATAGACCTTAGGGTTTTACGTATTCATTCCGACCCAGTAAAGAGAGAGGGTGGAACACAATAATATTGTATTTGTCTGCTTTATGGAATTCGTGAGAGTTCAAAGTCATTGATTTTCAACGTTTGAGTGTAGGAACAGTATTTACATTGGACGGCTTTATTCTGTTTATACTCTTTTTGGACAAGCGGTGTGGACCCAACCAACACTCCTGAATTTAAAGCCTGACTCTGTGGCTCAGCTTTTCTTAAAAAAGATACAGGAATAAAATATGCCCCCTCACTGACGCTGTGGCTCAGCTTTGCTTCAAGAGACCTGGGAATTAAATATGGCCCCTCACTGCCTCGGTGCGGGGAGGAATGAACTGAACTTAAAAAACTACCAGGAAGTAAATAATTATGCTAAAAACTTGCGTTTTTGCCAGGGACTTCGCAGTCTTCAATTCTTGCAGGGCTCACGTCAAAGATGCTGTGGGCATCTCCACCCAAGCCTTCCTGTCTGGGCTGAGAGGCGACAGTGGGGAGAGCACTGACTGGGTGCCGGAACCTTCTGCCACCTGTGGTTCTTTGACGTACAGAATCCTGGCTTCCTGTTTACGTCACTGCCTGGAAGGAGGGATGCCCAGGAGGTTCAATGTCTTAGTGCAGCGGTTCTCAACCTGTGGGTTGCGACCCCTTTGGCGGTTGAACGACCCTTTCACAGGGGTCGCCTAAGACCATCCTGCATATCAGATATTTACATTATGATTCATAACAGTAGCAACATTACAGTTATGAAGTAGCAACGAAAATAATTTTATGGTTGGGTCACAACATGAGGAACTGTATTTAAAGGGCCAGAAGGTTGAGAACCACTGTCTTAGTGGGAGCCACACAGCTTTTCAGAGACACTGCTCTTTAGAGCTCTCCAATCCTTCATTGTGGAGCAAGGGGCTGCAGCTGAAGGGCCTGCAAGAGGTTCTTGGCGGAGGTGGAGGGATTTGTACTTCCTGTAGCTTTTTCTGTTCACATCATAGCAAAGAGCCTGCTGAAGTCGGGTGGAGCAGGCCAGGCCCAGCACACTGCTGTTCAAAGAGATTAAAGACTCACTGGGCCCCCTGGCTGCCATCAAGCTGTGCTCGAAGGCCTTACCCGGTGAGCCTGAGGAGAGAAGGCGTCTGCTTTAGACTTAAATTCCCTTCCTAAAAAGGCTTGGGTTTTGCCTGCCTCAGTATTGCTGTTAAAGAGACAGACTCCATTAAACAGCGTATGGATTAACTGGGGTTCAACAGTGGTCCACGCATGGGCCCACCGAGGAGCCATGGACAAATAGGGGGAAGATGTGCATAGGAACTTTCCAGTCACATGCGTGTGCACACACACAATTTTAAAAAATATTCTATCTAACAACACATGTGTCAAAACCTCCCTAGGTTATATACCCAGGAGACATACACGAGAATGTTCAGAGCAGCACTGTTTGACATAGAAAAATAACTGGAAATGAGGCAAATGTCCTTTGGTAGGAAAATGAATAGCCTAAGTGTGGCGTATGTTACACACTATATTATATGGCAGTAAAAAATGAATCAATTACAGCCACTGGTAACAACATGGTGAATGAGAGACACATGTTAAATAGAAAAGAGACATGTTCAAAAAGACTACATGCAGCATGACCCCCTTTTTATAAAGTTCAAAAATGAGCAAAGCTTGTTCAGGCGTGCATACGTGTGAGATAAAACTATTGTTTTTTAAAAGGAGGGGGATGATAAACACAAAACTAGTTGCACTTTCCTCTGGGGAGTAAAGCAGATGAATGGGCTAAAGGAGGCGAGAGAGGTCAAGGGAAACTATTGGTGATGCTCTGGTTCTTGCCCTGGCTAATGGGTTTGTGTGCTTCTATTTTATCTGGTATTATAACTTAGATCAGCGGTTCTCAACCTGTGGGTTGCGACCCCTTTGGCAGTTGAACGACCCTTTCACAGGGGTCGCCTAAGACCATCCTGCATATCAGATATTTACATTACGATTGATAACAGTAGCAACATTACAGTTATGAAGTAGCAACGAAAATAATTTTATGGTTGGGTCACAGCATGAGGAACTGTATTTAAAGGGCCAGAAGGTTGAGAACCACTGACTTAGATAGATATGTTTGCATAGATCCTGTCGTATGTAGGAGATGTTAAAATAAGAAGATTAAAAAATAACCTACCTGGCCCGACTAGTTGTTTTAAGTTGCTGAAATTTGAGGATCAATCCATACTAGCTGATCCACAGGGATCATTTTGATTATACACCATGTTCCCTAATTTTAGATCATGTGACTTCAGTCTATATCTAGGCTTCCTAGAATATATTCATTTGGACACTGCAGTTTTCAATCCTCACATTTCTCCAAAAGGAACACTGGAGGCCCTTACTAGGAAACCAACAGTAGTTTAATATGTGAATTGAAGGCAAGACACAACCAAGGGAAATTGAAATCCACATTTATTGATGAGAGATATATACACAAAAGTTAAAACACTTAGTGAAATCTTGGATTCACAGATTATTTCCAGTATATAAACAATATCCAGTTATTTTTACACATGAAATGTTACAGTCATCAGTTCACATTGTAAGAAAGCTTAGAAAGCCTAAGGTGAAAACAAAAGACCGCAACTACCCAAAATGTGCTTTGCCAACAAGGCATCTCCTAGTACCATAGATAAGAAACAACCCAAAAAATTAGTTGAAGTTTTTACCTTTTTTTCATTCATTAGTCTTTAAACACTATGTGCTATAGATGCTCTATGCTACACGACTTTAGACTAATAATGGGGATTATGAATGTGAGGGAAACAATTATTCTCATCTTTCATTCTGGACACACAAGAATCTTCAGAGAGAATCCTGCCCGAAGGCTAGCTTTCTTTCAATAAGGTTTCTCCCTTGAATTTGACAGGAGTTGTAGAAGCCACATCTCCCAGGGAAAATATGGCTGTCTACCATATATAGACCTTTCACTCCACTGAAAATTAATGTGTTCTGTGCTCTCAGGGGATCTCTTAGGCTTCGCTCCTCTTGTGGAAAGAGGGGAGCACTCAGTGTTCCTAACGGCACGTGGCCATTCTTCTCTGAACTCGCAGAGGAGAAAGGGCTTACAGGAACGAGAGACCCCACGGCACTACATGGAGGGATAAATTACACACAATGCGTGTTTTAGGCAGCACGTGTATCATTGCATTAGTGAATCTCATCTTCAATCACTCAAAACATGCACACAGAGCCTATAGGTAGAGGTCATACTCCCTTCACATATGTGGGATCTGTGCTTTATCAGTTGCCTTTCTGCAACCCCAAGGCTGTACACTGACCACCCCTGTGCTTCTAACGGTCTTTCTACAGACGTTTACTGCCAGGACTGTGCTTCTGTGGGGTTTGGCCTGCATGGCAGTTGGTCAGTAAATATCTTTCCTGTGTCCTGACTCAAGACACCAAGGGAGAGGAGGCTCTTCAGAGCCTTGAAGTCATGAGCATCATGATCAGCATGTGGCAATCAGAGAGGCAGACCTTTACATAAGGACATGTTGCTGACATGCACAGAGCAGACTCACTTGTTGTCTCTCTGAGCCCAACCCACCAAGCAGAGGAGGGCTGTAGATCAATGTCCTCATTCTAAACTAGCTAAGCGTAGACCATCAGCAGTTCCACAGTTGCTTTCGCCATGCATCACACAGATGGCAGATGAACTTTCACTAAGAATCATGGCCCACATCTAACCCTCCCTTGCTCTGAATTGCATATCGACAAAGATGCTGGATGCACACAAACTTGCAAACAATCATCGGTACAAAGGATTCATAGATAAGTTCTTCACGGATATACACCCCCAAATCACATTAAGGAAAAGGAGAAATCATTCATCACTAGGTTTCTAAGAAGGAAAAGAAGGGTTTTCAAAACACCAATCAACAAGTCTACTACAGTTAGATGAACAGCCAAAATTAACATTTAAATTAAATTAATATCTACGCACCATTTACTGAAATTACACATAGATACCTACATTATAGCTACACAAGTGCGTAGGCACTGTTCTTCATGCGTGAACCAAGTGTTGCTGTGTACACACAAGAACTTCATGCTTTGACAGCTATCTGTACTTGATTATCACAGGTACAATCGTTGCCAGTTGAGGGGGACTTCTAATCTGTTTGCTTAATGAAGAGCAAGCTCAAATATATCCCAGTACACTTTCTATGTAACTGACTATGTCTGAAAATGTGGCAAAAATACTAGCCCTACAACCATATCAGAAAGTGTGTTTGACAGAAGGAAGACCCTCTTTGCCTTTGAAGTTGCTATTGGTTTGCCTCTTGGGGAAATTCCATGGACTGTTAGTCACCCGAGGACACACAACACGTTGACATTTATTACCAATTTGCTTGGCAAGAATGAACTGTGACAAATTTGTCCTGATGTGCTTCCTCACACTAACCCTCAATCTCTGCTATGCAAATTTTCCCAAGCCAGTTTTTACACAAGTCAGTAGGAAGGCATGGGAGAGTCTGATATAGACATGATCCCACTATTATCACCTTATTTTTCATCTTCTTGGAGAAAAGTACAATTAGAATGCTTAGCTGGCAAAACAAGGCCTGGTATCAAAAATAAGAAGCCAGCACCATCTCTTGAGTTACAAAGATGAATTGTTAAGATGCAGAGCCTAACCAGCTAAGTCAGGATGTAGGGGATTGCTTGTTCTTTATGGTTCTTTCGTTCATTGCATCGCAAAGGACTGGGTCCTTACATTTTTAAAATGTGGCTGTACGCTCAGGAAACAACTGATAGCTCTAAATTGCTGTAGAAACTTCTTGTGCAGTTGGTTATAATTGGCTATAATTCTACATATGTGGTTATATAGAAAATACCATAAGAAAATATCTGTCTGCAAAATTACAGATACTAAATAGAGGAATTCAGTCTGCACTGAGTTCTTTATGATGTATGAAGAATAGCTACAAACCTAGAACATTATTAAAGGCTAACTCAATATTAAACATATAGCACTCAGGACTATAAATACATGTTCTCGTGCTCTTTATAAATAATAGCAAAGAAGCCCGGGGATTTGTTTTAAAAAAGAATGTAAGGTTGGGCTGGAGGAATCTGAGAGTTTGGGATGCAATACTGATCAGAGGGCAATATGTTGGCCCTGGTAACATAGATTCTTATCAGGAAGCCAAAATATATCTGCTGGCAGCAAGGTCAAATTAGATTCACAGTTTGCCAGCTCTCTCCTCAAGCTGTAGAAAACAAATAGAAAAACAATATACAAAAATCCTCACAAAAGTAGTTTTTTTTAATATATACAAATCTCTATAGTGACCAGATCACCTGGTCTGTGCTGTGCAACATGGAGATACAATGCTGAGGTTCACCAGGGGAAGGAGGAAGGGTGTGTGGGAGGATCTGGATGCTGAAGGGTGAGCTCCTGGCAAGGGATAGAATGCTCCCGGAGCACCAAGCAACCAGAGGGCCAGCTTTCTGATCACACATCTCAGGGAACTCCCTCCCCGGGGAGAAACCTGAGACTCACTAGACCGACTTCCTTGGCTAGTGTGCGCATTTCTCTCCTACCAAAGGCAACAGGCTGTTTCGAGGCAGGCGAAGTGGTTGCCATGAGAAGAAATGGAGCCCCAGAGGGAGCGAGGCTCTGACTGCACATCCCCGTCTCCATGGGGGATGATGACAAGGGCAGCAGTGAGCTGTTATGTTCCAACACTCACCCAGGAACTGGGGTGTCTCCAGAGGCGGTGGGGACTTGTTGCTACCCATGCTCTGGGCCCAGTGCCGACTCTGCAAAGCAGTGGGGTCTGTTCCCACAGCAGGTTTTATTCTCAGCACAGAAGGACCCCATAGAACAATCAGAAGGACTTTTAAAAATATCTAAATGGATACTTGGTCTGGAGGTAGGAAGGTGGAGCAAGGCTGGACATAGTAAAAAAATGATAGGTCATTATTCAGAATATTATTTAGAATGACTGAAATAAGAACGTGGGGCTTCTCTTACTTTTCCATAGATTCGTATTTGGGTCAATTAAGAAATAGTCTTTCTTGCTGCTCTTGCATCAGGTCTTCTGCACTAAAAATTAAAAAGGAAACTCAATCCTTTTCGTCCTAGTTTTACATCTGGTTCCCCCAAATCTAAAGAGCGGAAGTCTTCTCTGGTGGTCAAGGTGCTCACCACACAATAAATACTAAACCCATTCCATAGTTGGCAAAAGTTTGGACAAAGAGCAAGGATGCAAGCAGTAGCCCATTGCGGCAGAAGCAAAAAGTGCAACAAGGTTGTTCAAAGGCCGTGTTGGCATGCACCTTGCAGACAGACCATGCTGTCTATCAATCCCAGAAACTCCCCCGGCATTGAAGAGGGGTGAGAGCCAGCTCAACTCCATTCTTGTCGGACAGAGCTTCTCTACCTGTGATGTGATGCAAACCAAGAGGAGAACTGGAAAATGAACTCCCTCAAATAGCCCTGCATATCTCTCCAGAGAAAGGACTTGCCCGGGCTCACCTGTGCGTGGGTGTGCATGTCCGCCTACAGGAGGAGAGGGAAAGTATTTACAGACAGGGGCTGTTATTGTGCAAGGCTTGCACTGAATTTCATGAGACTGTTCAGGTTGATTTGCCAAAGGCTCCTGCATGCGATTAGGACTGTCTGAAGAGAACTGTGTTTTGGGTGTTAGGAGTGGGCTCTGTGGCTACAGCAGGAATGATGCAAGAGCTTGAGTGAGGCTGTAGACGCGTCCGGTCCCCTCACGGTGAATCTGGCAGCATTTTTCCTGAGCTGAATCGCTACTTCGACTGGGACAGTGAGTGTAAGCAAAGAGCAGTTTTACAGAAGTGTGTGTGTTTGTGTCTCAAAACACCACATGGTCGATTACCATGGCCATCTTCCAAGCTTGTAATCCACCAAATAAAGAGAGAGGCTTGAGTTTGATTTCCCCCAAAGGGGACGAGGAAAATGCAAACCGATTAGTAATTATTGTGGGTCCCTCTGACTTAAAATAGAAAGTCATATTTTAGAGTAGTAAACCTCTTAGGAGAGAAACATAAGATCATGGATTCTTAGGGCTGGGAGGGGCTTTTAATCATTTAATCCAACCCCTTCCCTTTACATATGGGAAGGAATGAGGCTTGGGCATAAAGTGACTTGTTTAAGTTATACAGCTGACAACTGGCAGTCTAAGTCACATGTTTCCTCTACCCGACTGTGTTATTTCTCACCATCTCTGTCATTACCTGAATTAGCTGTGTTATGCTGTAAAATCAGATACTATTCTATTAAGATTCCCTGTCGTCTTATTCTAAAACCAACCCTTGGTCGTTCCTTACGCAGCAACAATGATACATGGAATAAGAAGAAAGGAGGAGAAAGAGTGAGGAATTGGGCTTTTCTTTGGGGAAAATCATAGGCAGCTTTGAATTCACTCTATTCAAGGAGAACAACCTGCCGATAACGTCACCTGCCTGGCTTGGACCTCGGTAGCCTTCCTTCTAGGTTTTAGCCAGAAATTACCACAGACACAGAGACCACTAATCTCTGACAACTAGAATTGCAAAATCCTCACTTCAGAATTACTCCAGGCTCTTAGCTTAAACTTAATCTTACTCTTCTTATTCAAGGAACAAGTTATTGCAATAACTGAAAATTCCCATTTGGTCCTTTTTATTGGCTTGGAATGAGTTCAGTTGGAGAATAAGCAAAACAAAACCAGCAACCCAGACAAGCGCATGGCCCCAAGAGTTTGAGAGCAGTGAAGTGGGAAGAGCTACTGCCTCCACTGGGTGTAACTGCTGAGCACTTTTAGCCATGGAACCAGGCAAGAGCTGCCGAGACTTGTCCAGCAAGAGTCTGAACCACGGGGAAGTCTCTCTGAGCGTGTGCGTTCCTATTTGGGTGGACTGTTGCATTCATGGGAAAGGGAGTGCACACAGAGCCTTGACTCTGACAAAAGTGAAATATCGTACCATAACTTTTGCTGTTGAGAACATAAGGAAGTGTGGTGTTTGCAAAAGCATAGCAGGATTGGGTTTCCTTTTGGGGACCCAGTAGATGAGTTACCCAACTCCGGGAGGGCTTCTTGACTCTCAACACACATGAAAATGACATACTTCCCTATGCACAAGTGGAAAGGACCTGACACCCTCTAATCACTCAGTGGTGGGGTTCCTGGCATTATCTACCAGGACTATATCTCCCCGAGAACTGAATTTCCCCTAAGCCTTTCTCAACTTCCAGCCTAAACCCAGGAGCTGGGCATCTTGGCATCCTTGCTTTAGGTTTTCATAAACATCCTTGCTAACGAGTAGTTGGAGAACAGAAGTAAATATTTGTCTTTTAGGAGACATGGTGACTTCCACAGGAAATGAGACTATAGGCTATGTTCCCACACCCAATAGCAAGTAAGGAATTGAATCTGATAGCTACCTGGTTCAGATATCCTCCCTGAAGTCCTGTATTGAGGACCTGTGTGACCAAGGTGATTGCCCTGATTATCTGATGCCCTCTGCATGGGACTCACATCCTCAAAGACCTCAGATAAAGCCCCGCCTGGAGAGATAAGCCATTTTTCTCACTGATTGGATTGCATTCACAGAATTGTAAGTAGTTGATCTAATGATGATTCCCCTTGGGTCTGCCAATGGGCAAAAATGCGATAGGGAAGGACTGAAGTCTGCTCAGTTGGTTTTCTCCTGAAAAAATTCTGTTTCCTAAAAAGAGTGAATGAGTCTAACAAAAACAACAGCAAACACCAACAAAATACAAAACAGACCTTATAGGATGTGGTGTATGTATCTGGTCTATCATATAAATATAACATTTATGCATCATCAAATATTAGTGGGTTATAAGCCTTTATATCTGTGTTGGAGCTATTACTATAATTCTATGTATATCAGTGGTAAATCACACATATCCTAACTAGAAAAGGTTGTTAGAGGTATACTCTGGATCTATTTGTTCTGTTTATGGCACATATACTGGGCAAGGAAACCCCCAATGGGCACAGCATGAGAAGAATGAATGAGGCCTAAAAAAAAAAAATCAAAGGACACAGTCATATGTCAGCTCTATATACATCCTGGATTTTCAGGCTTGTCTTGAATTTGAAAAAGTATTAATTTTTAATATAATTTGTTGAATCTAGATAAATATGCTCTCCTATGTGTATTTTCATGGAACTATTCTATTGTATAGAATCTCAAACCAGAAAAACCTGCTTTGTTAAACTGTGCACTTAGACATTTATGATCTCACTGGTAATGAGGAAAACTCTGAAGACAAAGCAAACAGAGAAGACATCTAGGCAGAGTCTTGGGAAGATAATCCTGAGACTGCTCTATCAAAAAACATGTCAGCCTGTACACGTGTGCTAAGCTGGCCCTAAATAGCAAAACCACAAGCTCCTAGGTGCCTTGCCCATATCCTTCTCCTCTCCATAAGTCCCACTTATAGACAAGCCTTAACAGTTTCACAGCTGCACCCAGGAACTGCTCCCCTGACCCACAGTGTCTGCTGCAAGGGATACGTTTCCCACCGCTACAGTTCAGCACATCCTGGGCCACCCTGCTCACTGTCCAGTTAATGAAAACAAAGACCAATGCCATTCTTTAAAAGCTAAACCGGCTTAATACTGCTCAATAATGATCCTTATCCAAAAATAACTAGGGGTTAGGAGACCAAAAAAAAAAAAAGAGGAAACATCTGTATGTTCCAAAGGTGTCTGATTTGGAAGAGAAAAGTCACAAGGACTAGGTAGTAAAGGGTATGTTGTGGCCATAAATATCCTTTCTTTAGAGAATTTAGACTCTATCATGATTCATCAACATCTCACCATCCATCTGCTGGCCTCAGAAGACTACCAAAGTTCTACACACTAACCAAAGTTCTACACACTCCTTCCAATGTGCTTTATTTCTCAGTGATTCATGCTCAAGTCCTCAGCAAACTCCCAAAGCCAGAAACTTTAGAAAAATACTGTGTGTTATTCACTAGAAAATGATAGTAGAGACACTGAAAAAGTTAACCTACACAATCATTCAGGATTCGTTGGGTGTCAACAGCATGCAAGGCACTGTGCTGCTCCTATTATATTACTTATTCCCGCAAACTTTCACAGCCTTGGAAAGGTCCCATCTGTGTGGTGCCCATTTCATGGTTCAAGCCTGCCTTGACTTTGCCATGGGAATGGCACCTTTTAAGGATTTTGCACATACGTTGTTTTCTGTTCTTTTTGACAGAGAAGACTGGGGAGGAAGGTTGGCTTTGCTTCCAACGTGTCCTGTAATTGGATTTATGTGCTTTGATATAATATAACAAAAGCTTTCTACATATTAGATAAATGACAGTCTTTTGTTTTTATCAAGAGACAGTAGTAAAAGAGGCACAGGCAACACAACTGTCCTCCACGTGTAAGAACAACACCATGATTAGGCCTTTTGGTTTACTGAGCATAGGATTGAAATGATTTGGAGATCAAAAAATGTCTTTTTGTTAGAAACCCAAACAAGAATTTTATGGGTAAAACAAAGAAAGTGAAGCAGAGATTAATATGATCTCACACGGACAAGATGAATACAAACCAAAGGCCAACGAATTTGAATACTTGAATCTGATTAACATGTATGTTGACTGTGCTCTCTTACTTTTGTCAATATATACAGTGGTTCTATGCAAATTACATTCTAACCCATTATCAAATTGAGAGCAAATTACGCAGCAAACTCTGAGAGGTCAATAATGCGTGTCCACAGACTAGGTGGGACAGAGCGGAGGCTCAGTGGCCTCCACAACCAGCCGCCTTCAACAGGTCCGTTCCCACTGCAATGCTCTCTGAAACACTGAGCTCAAAGAGCAGACAGAAGACAAATTGTCACAGTTCCCTAAGACAGGTACTTGCTTTTATCAACACGTGGGCAAACCCTACAAGACACGGAAAAAGAATTACTTCTAGAGGCTCCTAACAGAATCTCTTGTGCGTAACAAGGCGAAGCATGGAGAATACTTGGAGAAACAACACACTGTGTATCTGCTCATTACCCCAAGTCCCTGGAGTGTACCACACAGCTTGAGTCGCGTCCCCTGGGAAAAGAGCATCCATGGGCCTGCATCTTGAGAGAAAAGGGAAGCTGGCAAGAATGTGTCTTCAATTCAAACGGTTCCTCCAGCAGCATCCATTCCGACAGTAACACACATGAGAACATCAGACGGTTACGAAGCATTATTTGGCAAAGACACAGCACCATGCCTATCACTGACTCACAACAGGTCCTCTAAGCCTCGGCTAACAGATTAAGTAAACATAGAAATATAGGTGTTTTGTTTTGTTTGTTTTTTTCCTTTTTAAAGAAAGCTTGTTTATATCCTCTTTTACCATGAGATACACTGGGGAGTTTATTCAAGAATTTGCTGAGAGTCACATCCTTATTTTTCACGTTTCCAAGGTTCTTCCTCAACACTGCCGTCTGCTGACTTCCCGTTGGCTGCCAGAGTTACCTGAAAATAATCATCATCAACATCCAGCTTATAGGCCATGGACCAGAGAACCACCCCGTGGGTTATGTGGAGGAGCACCGGATCTGGCTTAGACCACATGACTTTGATATCGGTTTTAAATGTTGTCCCTTCCGACCAGATGTTGAGCTGGTCTTGGGTCTCAACACTGATTTGTGAACATTAAAAAAATACTTATTTGCCTTGAGGGCCTTTTGAGGGACTGGAGATGCTAGGCGATTCGGGGGATAACTTCTACTCTGCTTTGAGGGTTGTGGGGGTGTCTAACTACTTATAGACCCATCACACAGGAATGCAGTCCTTAAACAATAGTGCCCATGTGCTACTCCATACAACCACAGAGAAAAAAAACACCCAGAACTAGGCAGCTAGTTCTACTCATGCACGTGAAAGGTTCAGTTGCAAGAAGGCCAGGTGAATTTGACACATATCCAATTTTAACACCAGAAGGCACAATGGTCTGGGTAGCAAATAAGCGATGCGGGTTTTACAAATGGAAAATAAAAAGGGGGGATTAATTGAGCCCGAGGTCATTTACTAATCAAATGCAACCAGCAGACTGTCTAGAATAGATTCTGCTCCCCTGGCTCTGAGCGAACTGAACCCTTCCCATATTCTGCTCCCCTGGCTCTGAGCGAACTGAACCCTTCCACAGAATGGGAGGTTTCCCCTCCACGTCTACATTTTTCCTAGCTTACCTTCCATCTGTCTGTCCTCAACGTCATGTGCAAACTTAAACCCACGACTGATATTCCACATAATGGAGAGACTGGATTTATGGAAGCATTAGAACATGGAGACATGACAAACGCGGCAATGTTTGAAAGAAATCTGATCTTCCTCCCCGAGTGGAAGTGAAACGCATGCGTTATGGACACACACAACATGCTGGGAACAGAAAACCCAGTGCCCCTCACGAACCAAGCGAGTGAAAATAAAAAGGAGTCATTCCTCCAGTCCCCATTAGGCCCCCACATGCAAGCAGCAACGACCGCCTCCCGTGCAGTTACTATGATTAAAATACAAAAAGCTATTGCGTCACTTTCAAACTACTTCACAAGGCGAGCGATTGGAAACAGAGAGACCAAGGTGACATAACGATGCTTAATGTGGTTAAAGTTTGACCAGAGCTGCAGCAAAGTGGTTTCCCCTTCAGTGAACTGCCAGGAGGGACTGCCAGGAAGGAGCACGCTGTCTGCCTGGAGAAAGCTGCCTGTTCTCTCTGACCTTGAATGTGCCCATTTGGCTTTCAGTGAGGAACCAGATCCGTAGCTGAGCAAAATTCTCAATCACAGTGTGGTGCCTTTGGAAAACCAGACAGCACTTGGGGGAGGGAGTTGTCCTTTTATTGTTGTTTTGATGCTGGGGCCTGTGTTTGAACAGCAGCTGGGAGAGCAGCTTTTTTTGGCATTTCCCTTGCTGGCTGGATGAAAGCAACCTGGGACTCCACTCCCCGATCCATTGCACCCCTCCTGCTCCAACCACCCGAGTAACAGAAAAGCAAACACAGGGAGGGAACTGCCAGTCAGCATTGATGTCTCCCATCTCAGTTTTGAAAACAGTGAGACAGAGCATGGATCAGAAGGAAATTCAAAGGCATGAATCAATGTGATTCAGATATTCTGGGAAAGTGTGCTAATTCATCTCCATAGCTCTGGCTGCCTCCCCACATCAGTGTCAACTCAGCTAGTTGGTCTAGAGCAGGGGTGGGCAAACTTTGACTCGAGGGCCACAATGGATTCTTAAACTGGACCGGAGGGCCGGAACAAAAGCATGGATGGAGTGTTTGTGTGAACTAATATAAATTCAAAGTAAACATCATTACATAAAAGGGTACAGTCTTTTTTTTTTTTAGTTTTATTCATTTCAAACGGGCCGGATCTGGCCCGCGGGCCGTAGTTTGCCCACGGCTGGTCTAGAGAGTGAGGAGAGTCAATTTGCCTCACCTGGCAACACCTGAGGACCAACTAACCTTCACTGAGCTGAACCCAATCTCATCACTAAAAAAATCCAAACTGCCAAAATAGCCACTAAGGCAATATGGCTGCTGCATCATTTCCATGACATGCTCAGTTTCACTACTTGACCATCTAAATCAGGGGTGGGAAACCTTTTTTTCCTGCCAAGATCCATTTGGATATTTATAACATCATTCGCAGGCCATACAAAATTATCAACTGAAAAATTAGCCTGCTAGATTTTTGTGGATGAACTGCTGCTCTTCCATACTGCTGGCAGTATTGGAATAAACTCTCATATGTGATTAAAAAAAATTATCCTGCTACATTTGATCATTTAATTAACTCACCCCTAATGCTTGGCAGGGACAAACCAAATGATTTCTCAGGCCTTATACAGCCCACAGGCAGGATGTTCCCCACCCCTGACCTAAAAGCTAATTCAACAAGTGTGCAGGGTGGTTGGTTGGGTAGTAGGTTATGGAGACTGAGCCACTATCTCTATGGAATTGTCCAGAAAAAAAAGATTACCTGAATTAAAGCATAGGGTCAAGATGCTAAAAGGCTACATTCAACAAATATTTCTAGAGCGCCTACTGCATGGTTGGAGCTGCTTTAGGTGCTAAAACACAGTACTGACAAATGGGGACACAGTTCCTCTCCTCATGGGCTTACGTCTGACTGACAGGGGACAATTGACCAACATCTCCTTTTAGAACTTGAATGTTTTGCTTAAAACAAATGAAGCAAATTTCTCCTGATATTCTTTAAGAAAAAAAAAAGTCCAGGAAGTCTGAAATCTAAGGATATCTCCATGCCTACATACCTTCTTCAATACAGTATTACTAAGCTCTTACAATGCCCCAATAAAGGTCACAGCATAGACAATTAACCACTAGGAGTCTTCTTATACATAATTGCAAAATTAAAAAATATGTGATTTCATTTTGTTCCTTACTACTATGTGTCCTTGTATGGCAGTCATTTGGGATCAAAACTTATCACCACTTCAAAATTGTACATTCATTTTCCTGTCCTCCCATGCCTAATTCAAGGCTTTGCAGATAATGGCCACTCAATAAACACTTGATGAATGTGATAAAAATATATATGGTCATAGGAATGAGATGGGTTTGCTCAACTAAACCTCACAAGGCACACAATAAATACTTATTGAGTATAATAGAGCATAAAGCCATTCCTTGGGAATGTTGATCCTTGTTGATCCAAACCAACATTTTAATGGGAAATAATCCAGCACATTTATTTAGATGTACGAAACACTAACTTTCTAGGAAAATGGAGTATATTCTTTAGATACATCTGAATTACTAATAATTTAAGTCATTTTAATGGAGTCAATTAATGTATGCAATTGCCTCCATTGCATGATGGGTGGGGTCCCTAATTTGTATCAGAGCCCTGGTTCACTCACACATGGGCCTGATATAGAAGGGAGGAGCGAAAGGCTGTGGCTGGTCCATTAGACTTCTGGACCTATGTTGCAGTCCAGTAGAGAGGATTACTTCTGTGTCATCCTAAGTGGTCTGGCAGAAGCCATCGTATATATTTAGAATGACCCAGAGGTAACACATAAAGAAATCAACTAAATGAGATCTTATCAACAGGAATCAAAAAGGTATCAGAAATATCTGTTGGGTTCAAATTTTCCTCAAATGCTAGCTGGGACCATTCTAGCAACCCAACCCTCAGAGTTGACTCTGCTCACCTGCCAGGGTTTCTCCAAGTTTGCTTCGCTCTGGTCATGACACTGCCTTTGACAATGTCAAGTTAGTTACAATGAAGGCTAGAAAGAGCTTATGGAGCTTGAAGACTCAGCACCCAACGGCTTAGGAGAGTCCAGAACATCCATGCTTCAGGGAAGAGGGTGCTGCCAGGCAGTGTGTGAAATGTAGTGGTTTTTAGAAGACATCTATGAATGATCGTCCTGAAGGATAGTTATCCTTTACTTGAAAGTTTCCCCATACTTGGAGCAAAGGGACTGCCAGGTCACAACTCACATTCCCACCAAAATAATTAACCGAAAGCAGCTGCACAGTGATGTGGGCACCTTTTTGGCCAATACATGATTCATAGCAGGAAGGAAAACTTGTGCTATATAAATCAAATGGTTCTGGGTATTTCTCCTGGTGCTTCACTTGAGGAATAGAGAAGTTGAAAGCCAGCAAAACCCTAGAGACCACAAATTCTTGGGCAAAATATTCAAGAAAAACAATCAAATTTGGGGATGGGTAGGTGGGGGAATCAGAATGAGAGTTTGCACATCATATGGATGAAAGAAGCAACTGATTGGCTCTTTCCCTGTTAGACCTGTTGATTTCCAGCCATGTTAGACACAGAGTTAGATGATCTGGGACTCACGGAAGCTTGGGTTACATGATGCTTTAGAAAAATAAATGTGACAATAATACATGCAGGGCTCTGGTGTTCATTTTAAGAAATCGAGCATGCACTATCATATACAGGTCTCGATATCCATGAATGGGAAAGGTACCTTGCACTCATCTACTATGACAGAGTTGTGTGCGGCATAGACACATTGATTAGAGTTGCTTTCCCTATGGTTCTTCATGTCGTCATAAATGGACTGAGTCTTGGTCATTTCAATGTCTTCGTGCGCTCGGTGCTGGGAGTCAATGGTATCCAGCTCAGACTTGGAGAGGTGATAGACAATCCCAGCCCCAAAAGAGTCACCCACAACATTGACTGACGTTCTCATCCTGTCCCTGGAGACAGAGAACAGAAAATGTTTAGTGAGGAAGCAGAATGCTATGGTAGTTGAGAGGTCAAGGTCTAGAACCAGAGACCTAGGGTTGAGTTCAGGCTTTCCCTTTCCCTCTGCCTGGTCTCAGGCAAGTTGCTTAACCTTAATTTCCCTGTTTGTCAGTTAGAGATAACAGGCATACTTCTCTTATAATCTTGTGTAAAAATTAAATGAGAAGATGTACATAAATTGTTTAGAAAATTGTCTGGTGAAAGGTAGGAACCCAATAAACAATAGCAAAGAAAAAGGAGGAGGAGAAGGAGGGAAGGAATGATTAGAGGAAAATAACGTGTCTAGATCTCAGAATTAGTGCCCAGGCTCCAGACACTTCTAGCTGCATCCAGTATTCCTTTTTTTTTAATACTCACCTGAGGATATTTTCCCACTGATTTTTGAGAGAAAGGGAAAGGCAGAGAGAAACACCGATGTGAGAGAAACACATCGATTGGTTGCCTCCTGCACTCACCCTGACCAGGGCTCGGGCTGGGAAGGAACCTGCAACTGAGGTATGTGCTCTTGACTAGAATCAAACCTGGGACCCTTCGGTTCGCAGGGTGACACTCTATCCACTGAGCCCAAACTGGCTAGGGCTAAATCCAGTATTCTTGATTTAAATTGTTCGTAAAAGACTCCACTTCAAAGATTACTTCTACTTATTTTATTTATGAATTCTACAGTAAAGAATAACAACCTATGAATTCCAATAGTAGAAAATTCATGTTTTTGTAAGGATTGGAACTAACACTGCCTTTCCCCTGCACCTCAGGGTAACACACACATATACATAGACACAGCTGTTGGATAAGAGACTCAGCCACAATTTTCTTCCTGACCAATATGTGTAGTGATTATGCATCCTGGAAAAACCAAATTACTTTGTCTGGTTCTCTTTATTACCCTAAAATAATTAAATCTTCCCAAGTGCCTCTTGAACAAGAAACTGTTAAGAAAAAACCTTTCTCAAATCTTGTTTTTCAAGTTCTGATTTAAAAAAAAAATAGGATGGTTGATAACTCTCTCTTTTAGAAGATCAGCAACTGGAAAACTAATTAAGTTCTTAAGAGTAAGCTGTTCTCTCATCCATAAGTTCAAATGTTGATGAGACACTCAAAATCCTAGAGAGAAGAATGCTGGAAACACACACACACACACACACACACACACACACACACACACACGGGGGTGGGGGCGGGGGAGGAAGGAAGAAGGATTTTCAGTAAAGATTGTGGTGAGACATCTTAGTCCAGGTCAGGGAAAAAGCTGGTATTTGAATCCAAGTTAGGCTGCCTCCAGAGTCCATGCTTTTTCTTAACTACTATCAGGGTTTTTTTCCCCTCATACCCTTATACTGGGGCTTCTTAGCAATCTGTACAAGTGCCTGATTTTGTGAATGACCTCAAGACTCCATCTTTATTCATGTTTTCAGGGGGAGATAGGAGCTGAGACAATGAGTTACAGAGAAGAGAAAAATAATACATGTGAAATCTAGGCAGTAGAAGCACTCAGGAGCATTCAGGATGTCTAATGAGAGGCAGAAAGTAAGAACTGACCAAATCATGTAAGGCTTTATCAGCCCAGTTTAGGAGTTACAACTTTATCCCAAGGTTAATGAGAATCCATTGGAGAGAAAGATCACCAATGTTCCATTCTGAAGAATGGACTGATGAAGGACAAGACAGAGCAAAGTCCACTTAGTGAAGAGGTGGTGGATATGAAGAAAGATGAATCTGAGATTTAGGAGACAGAATTACAGGACTTGAGAATTGATTGGTTATAGAGAATAAAAGAGAAAAGAGTCAAGGATTTCCTCAGGGTTCTGGTTTGGGCAGCCAGTGGACAGTGCTATCATATTTATGGGTTATAACTGATTGGGGTGGGAAAGATTCTGATGTCATACTGAGTGTGAGGGCCTTGACCCAGAAGAGGGGAGATGGCCCACAAATGGTTTGGAGTGTGGGTGTGGACTAAAGATCAAAAGGGATATGTGAGCTGCAGGTAGTGAATTAGAAGTCAACACCTAGAGCGGCCATGGGTGGATGCCAAGGGCATGTTTAGTGCAATCCTTGGAGAGAATGTAGAGTGAGAAGAGCAGACAACACTTAAGGAATGTGTGAAGGAACAAGAGTCAGCAAAAGTGAAAGGAAAGTAGAAGAGTTTGGGGGAATCTTGTTTCAAAAATAAGTGTGTGATGGACAATGCCCACTACTACCTAGAGCTCAGGTAACATAAGAAAAAGAAGTGTCTCTTGGTTGTAGCAACCCAGAGGCAAGTATTGACAGGCAAGGGCACCTTCAATGCAGAGGCAGAGAGAGAAGTCAACTCCCCATAGGTGGTACATTGACCAAGAGGTGAGGAAGACATTACAGATAATCAACATATTCAGGAAGATGACTGAGAAGGTGAAGAGAAGGAATGGTAGATGGAGGGAGACGGAAGATAAAAGAATTTTTGCTTTGTCTTCGAGGCCACCAGGGGAATATCTGGCCAACTCTGGGGAAGTCCGACTCTGGCCAAAAGCAGGATATGGGAGTTTATGGTTCACATGTGGAAAATTCCTTCACAGGCCAATACTTTCATTTTCTCTTGCAACCTGCTCTGAGCATTTAGGAAACCCTGCTGACCTCAGGAGCTTTTAGGCTACTTGGTAAAGAGAATTTTAGAGCATTTGATGCTATCCTTGGGTCTGGATGCTGTGTCAGGACTGTGAGAAGGAGGAGAGATGAGAGTAGAATGTTTTATTGGATTGGATTCACGACAGATGACACAGCTTTTGGAGCCACCAGGAACCAAAGCCAAGAGAGGGATTTGAATAACCTGCTTCACGCTGAGGCACTGGGTCTGGCTCCCTGGAAGAAAAGCCAAGGTGTCTGTCTCTCCTGTCTATCTCTTGATCTAAATCCTCTGGCAAGAGGACATGGACTTGTCTGAAAGTCCTGCTTCTCACAGAAGAACAGAGTCGGGGACGCAAATTCACGCAATATTCATCTGCTTCCTTCTATTGGGTCAAACCATATGAAATTGCCATTTTTATAAGTCCTGTAATGTTTCGTATAATTCAACTTAACATTCATACAAACAAGCCATCGTGCCTGCTACCCAGTGTGGCAGGGGGGTCACCTGAGGCCCCAGAGCTGAGAAGGCTGGCACAATTCTGGGAACCCAAGGGCTTAAGCCACTTGAGTTTAGGAAGGGAAGGAGAGACCACGGAAGCACTGGCTGAGTGTGAATTTGGATTCGAGCCTGGATTGTCATCCTGGCTCCGGCAGGGCAAGTTACTTAGCCTTTCCTGCTCAGCTTTGTCCTTTGAAAAACAGAGAAAGCAATACCCACCTCAAAGCATGTTGAGAAGAAAATAACTGCTTGTCATCTGAGAGGTCCTCTGCCAAACTCCGCATCTAAAAGACCTGGCACGGTACCTGACACAACGCAGTGCTCAACCCTGGCTGCTCATCATCATCATTGTTTATCATCATCATCATCATCATCATTATTCCAACTAATATCTTTTCCTCTTTTATTCCTCCACCAAGTCTTATACATTTCTTTTTTTTTACACTTAATACATTCTGTTGGGATTTTTTTTGACCACATCTGTCCCCATTACTAAACTATAAGTTCTTTGAGGGCTGGTACCATGTTTTATCTCTGTAAGACATGGGCAGGTTCGGGGGAAGGGGACAGGCAGGTGTATGGGGGGGGGGGGGGGGGGGGTAGGTTAGTTTAAGAGGGCAGATTAAGTCTAGAAAAATAACTGTTTGTTTGTTTAGTAAACATCAGTTGGATGTTTTGGTGGTGAAAAGTTAGGACTCTGGGAAAGACCTACAAAGAAGAGGGAGAGACAGAGAGCCAAGTGACCTCACCTATGGAAATGAGAGCGGTGTCCTGAGAGCTGGGGAAAGATGAGGGGACAGAGGGCAAGGAGGCCCAGCACGATGGGGAGAGACTGAGGCTGGGACTACACATGAGTAGGAGAGATTCCCAGGGGAATGTAGGGAGAGATTCCAGGGGTGGGGAATGCTGAAGGATTTTCTTTTTCAAGAAAAGGGATGCCTAATATTAAACTTTTATATTTTTGTGCTACCTAAAATTATAAACAGTGATTACTTCAGAGAAACAAGGCTTGAGATTGTAGGGGTGGAAAAACTGTCCCTCCTTCCCTTCTAGGTTCCTCGCTGGTCTAATGATTAAATGAACATAAAACAGATGAACAGGAAGAAAACAAGTTTAATTTTGTATATATGGGAGCCTCATAAAAACATGAGACTCCCAGCAGTCAAGCAACGAGGCTCATATACCATCCTGAGCTAAGGGTAAGGGCTGGGGCTGGAGTTTCAAAGGGAAGGAAGAGGATTCACAGGAAGATGAGAAGAACAGACGTTTGGTAAACAGATGTTTGCCCTGCCACACAGATTAGTCTCTTAGATAAAAAAAAGTTATCTCTGGTAAGAGCTCTCTTCCTGGTACAGGCCCCCTTTCTAAATTCTTTCAGCAGTTCAGGGGGAGGTAAAAAGTTTTTCCTAAATCTGCTGGGTCTTGATTGCCTTCAACTAAAAATAATCCACATGCCAATTGGAACATTTCAGGGTGGCCTGTCCTGCTCTCCTTCATGATCCGATTGTAGGTGAAGGAGATTTTTTTTCCTTTTTCATTTTATAACTCTTTGGAGATTTTCCCCTCCCCTTGTTTTTCCATGAGCATGTATTTCTCTGGTGAAACATTAAAGAATGATTTTGCTGTGCAGAACAATCACCCTACTGCCCTGATCTGCAATTATACTGCATTGAATCAGGGACAGTTTGTCAGAGGAGGGAAGGACTAAGTAGAAAAGGGTCACGGCCCATGCAGAGGTTAACAAAGACTGGAGATAAGGTAAGATGGAGGGGAAAATGAGCAAAAGACTTCAGCCTAAGCCCTTGGAATGTTCAGAGATATGGTGAATGTAAGAATAGCTTTTCTTTTCCA